AGAGGCATGAGCGTCCACCGTTCACCTTTAAGGCACCCAACATTCAAATGTTTTATTGAGAAGCTTAGTGGAAGTTCATAACATCTGTCCTTTAGACATCTAATTTAGATACCTATGTCAGCAGTTAAAACTCCCCAGAGATGCAATGGAGAAGAGCTGCCTGCTAACCTAACATAGTAGAAGTAGCAGTACTAAGTCAGATCAGAATTTTATGTAGCAGAATATGCTCTCCCCACTTGTGGTCATTATTTTATTAAGGATGGTCATGAGTGCCACTGAATAGAGACATCCCAGATGCTAGCACAGACCCTCATGGAGCTCCATTGCTGTTCCTGCTCCAACATGAAAGCTGACCATTCCCCTCCCTGCCGTTTCTACCTTTCAGCTTATTATTTATCTGTGCCTTCCTTTGTACACCTAGACTGTTTATCTAGTGTACTTAAAAGCCTTTGCTGAAGGAACCTTGCCAAAAGCCTTTCAGAAATCCAGGTAGTCCATATCAAATGGTCTCTCATAGCTAACATGTTTTGGCAAACCACTTCAAAGAACAAATAGGTTAGTGAGGTAGGACTTCCCTTTACACTGGCTACTATTAACACTTTCCAAACACATCCTATTTATCTGTATGTTCACTATTTCCATTTTTTCTTACCATTTCTACCAGTTTTCCTACTACGGACATTATTCTTACATGCCTGTAGCTCCCCAGGACCTCAGCTGGAATGCATTTTAAAGTCTAGTGTCACATTTACCAGCTATCAAAGCAGTGTAAAGCAAGGGGTTACACACCAATGTTAATCATTCAGACATTTCACCCCTGAATTCTTCTAAAACTCTCAAATTAATACCATCTGCTTCTAGCGCTGTGTTACTGTTCATTTACCACTCTATAATTTTTTAAGCCAGTTCAATTTTGGGCCAATCTTCTGATGAGCCCCTCACAAAGAAAAGCTCCAAGATGGGAATCTCCCTGGCTCCTTCTACCATGAAAAGACTTTATTTACTTGTTCTGCAACAGCTTTATCTTACCTAAGTGATCCTTTGATACCTGTATCATCTATTGGCCCTACAGACTCTCTGGCAGGCTTCCTGTTCTTGATGCATTTGAAGGAAGATTTATTACTTCTGTTAGCTGTTCCTCAAACTCTTTTTTGGACAGTTAGGTTATATTTATACATTTAATCTGCCAGGGTTTATGATCCTTTTCATTTTCTTCATTTGGATAGCACTTCAGCCTTTTGAAGGATTACCTTTAACATGGGGTAAGTTTTCTCTCCCTGCTTTACAAAACTTGGCTTCCTTTTGCTCTCAGTCCTTTCTTAGTAGGTGGTAACCTTGGCTCTCTGCATTCAATATGGGTCTGCAGGAAGCCTCCAAGCAGCCTGAAAAATTTTAAATTTAAAAAGCTCGAGTGCTTTGGAAGCCCCACTAACATATGGATTTAACCTAACTTCTAACTTCCAATGCCTGAAGTTTGACAGCATCAGCTTTCCCTTAAAGCATAAGGAAGAAGAACCAACCAAATCCTTTAAGAGAAAGGCTATAACAAACTGTGACGGGATTTACAATTGAAAGACTTGGATGATTTTAACCACATATTTACTAATACTGTATTACTTAATGAATGAATGAATAAGTATTACAGTGGTAGAATGCACCCGTAAGAATAAACACTTGAGGATCAGCTCTCAGAAATGCTAGGCACACTTCGTGAATTAGGTTCACTCAACTTTTACTGTCTTCTTCTGAAGGCACAAAGCAGACAGGGTCCCTTTTTTGTCTGCTACAGATGTTCTTTGATGTGGACAAGCCAAGGATCCAGCAACTTAAATGCACTTCTTGAAAGACTAACATTTGTCTCCCTGCGATTAAAGGTAGTGAGTTAGCCCCTGGAATGAAGTATTACAATATGGTAGCTAGGATTGCATTATGCTTCCAACTTTCAACAGCAGATTCATTCAAGAACAGAGCCAGTCATAATCTTTGAATTTCTTGTCTTTGAAGATGCTGATCAATGGAACTTTTTTCCTAACAAACAGCTTTGAGATTTTATTAATACAGGTCATTGAAAAGTTTACTATCCTACTAACTACAGAGAAGGGAAATTCCTGCTAGCTGTACATCTGCAAATATACAGCACCCCTGAGGCAGCTCCCGAAAGACCAGGCCTCCTTTTATTTTTTCAGAGCAATGTACCTTTTTATTCCAGTGATCTATGAAACCAAGAAATCCTACTTTCTTGTCCTTGAACACTGAATTAAGAAGGACAAGTCAAATTTCATGACCATGGCAAAATGCCAGCTAACATCTCGGGGTCCTACAGACTATGAAGCAAAGGGCTGCAGTAAGAATCTTGCCAGAAAATACTTTTTCAGCTAATTTGTAAAAAGGACAAGTGCTTCATCTCTTTGACATTCTTCTAATACTTGAAAGAGCAGTGTATGCTTCTTAATGCAGCTGCTTTCTTTTATAGGCATCTCTTATATTTGCCTGGAGGCATGTTAATCTGACACAGCAGCAAGCTGCTGATGGGCATCTGCCATCACTAAGCACAGCTAATATGATCCTGGAGCAAGGTGCCAATACTCCAGCTCTTCTAAATGGCACTTGGGGGGTGGGTGGGTGAGGGGCACAAGAAGAAGTGCCCTATTTTAGTATAGGTCAGCAGAAAAAAACTACATGACCGAGCCAAGTGTTTGTAAAAACAGGGAGTTCACTGCTTGGAGTCATCCAGGCTCTGCAGATGTCACCCATGCTTAACGCAGCATGTACTATTGATTTTGTTTGACCCCCACAACTTCTTCCACTGTTTCAGTTCAAGTAACTGGTTCACAATCCTGCAAATGACTGTGGCATAAGGACATCTGCAACGTGACCAGAGCAACCCTCATCTTTTAACAGACAAAAGTCACGTAGGAGAAGACAGGACTTGCCACAGTGCTGGGCAAGTGGTGGATGTCCACACACCTGATGTGCTCCAGCTGCACTCTGGACGGCACTTTCTAGCTAAGGAAGGAGCAGACTTTAAATAAAACTGCAGAGGAGGGTAGGATAGGAAGACCAGCCAAGCAGGACAGGATACTTGCACAGATCAGCGAGCGCAGAAATCCCCTAACCTCACTTCCCCTACTCCTTCATATGGGAGGCGCCGAAGCGGTGTCACCCTGAAACCCGGTCCCCTTCTGAGTGCTTGGCGGGGACAGAGGTCCTGGGAAAGCCAAAGACTGTCTAAACGACTTTTCTACATTATCATGCCCTGAAGACCGTAGCCCACTCTCAGAGCAGGCCACTTTAATTTGCCTCAGGGATAAGGCTCCAGCAAAGGTATCTGAGGACTCACGAGAGCTGAGGGGTAACTGGCCCCTTGCTGCTCTCACACTCCTCAGCCTTGTACCTCCTGAGAGGGTGAAGTACCAGGGACGCAGGTTATAGGGATGACTCTTCTGCCTAGGACCATCGTTTCACAAATGAAACTGATTCAGTCCCTTAAAAAAAAGAAAAAAAATCTCCGAATTACATGAAGCCAACCACTTCGCAGGAACAGGGAATGTACAAATCCCCGTAAACCATACAGCATAAAAGAAAGAACATAAGAAATCCTGACCAGTCTGCAAGCACTTATTTTTAAGAAATCATGTTTGCAAGGAAGAACTTGGCTCCTTCTAACAGCACACAGCAATTCACAGTTTGGGGGTGGGTATGCAGTCCTAGCTCGATCAAAGTTTGTGTGCTTTTGCCAGGTCTTTTCCTTTGAAAAGAAACTATATAAATAATTTTATGTGCTAAGAAGCATGCCTTAAGTGTTAATGAAAGTCAGGTAAATCTACAAGGTGCACAGAAATGCAAGTGCACATAAACAGACACTGAGCAGCACAGTAAGCAAATCAACATGGCACCACAGCAGTTTCTGTGGAGCTTTGGAAGGTTTCGTGTACTTGCTCCAGCTTTCTTCTCAAAATATGCACATTTTTTGTAGGACGATTAACTAAAGAAATCCCAGCTCACTTGACCCCTATGCCCAAATGAACTTCCTCAGACTACAATTTTAAGGTCAGTTTAACATCACGACAACACTTTCCAGAGCCTAAGAAGTTTCATTTTATTTATTTTAAGGACATTAGGGGAAAACGAAACAGTATTTTCAACTGGTAGCATAGCCTGGAATTTCCACATTTAAGACAATCTGCCAATGATGCACCTGAGTTAACTTCCTCTTGCCTTTGATGTTCTTTATTTCTCACACAAGCCTCTTCTTAGTTATAAGAAAGCTAGTTAGAAAAGATTCTAGAGTCTCTTTTATCGTAGACCAGAAAAAGAAAGTTAAAAGCAGAGCACTATGTTTTCTAAACCACCTGCAAGCTCATGAAAAAGCCTCAGACTTAAAAGAAAAAACTTACGGAGGTGCTTAACCAAAACAGGCTGAGTATCTATTGAAAAACCACAAGAAAAATTCCCCTCTTATGTGGGAAGATTATTCAGAAGGGCTAAATATTAGTGGAGTTTTGTGGGTTTTATTACAAATATCAAAGAGGAGCTTGCCACATAAAAAAAAATAATAAATGAAGATGACTCATTGAGAAGCAAAAGTTCGCAGGATGTTATTCATTTGTGAAGCTTGATCACATTTTGAATTTTTTAACTAGCATTTTACTATGCATGCAAACATTTCACAGTGAAAACAATAGCACCATAGCTTCATATCAGAAGTATATTTTACATTGAAGATCTTCCAAAGTATGTATTAATTGCCCAAAAAGTAGCCCCCTCACACACTTTATTCAAAACCTTAAATTGCAGTGGGTAAGTTCATCCGCAAATGATTTGCCCCATCAAAAATGTTTTTGCTTGACCCACTTGGAAAGGCTGCATTTTAAAACAGAAGCAGTATTCCCAGAAATATGCAACTGACCCTTGCAGTCAGAACTGTTGCGTGTTTTCTCGGATCCTGGATAAGCACAGCAAATCGCAAAGTGCAGCCAGCATGCTAAGCACTGTTTTACCTGTTCGGGCATGTAACAGAATCAATAGGTAGAGAGAGGAGAATGCAGCGTTTTGTTTTTGTTTCATCCTGCAATATTGTTTAACAGAAGCACATCTGAGACAAAGGTTACCCTGTACAGAGGGCGTGACAGTGATTTATTCTATCAGCAACCTGTGCGGACACCACTAAGCTTTCGTGCTGTCTGCTGCACCCCGCTCCCCTAAAAATAATGCCATTTTTTCCAGATTAAAAGTCCAGCCTTCTGTAAGTTTTGAATCCGTCCCGCAACAAAAGAAATTAGCTACATATTTCCCACTGGTGCTAACACCAATGCAGCTCTTCTGACATCGACCAAGACATGAGCCATTGTTTGGGGAGGCACTCAGCTTTTTGCAGTGCCACATCCATTAGATCTGCTGCTTGCATGCTCCAAGCTCTAGCTTTCCAGCTGGTTCTCTTTTGTCTCATATAGGCAGCAAGCTCCTCTTTGATATTTGCAATAACCCCCTCCTTCTCATCTTTGTAAACTTGCCAGCTCTTTGAGTGATTTTCCTGGATGAGAGGGAAATAGATGTATTGTGGTGGTTTTTCAACACATGTTGCCCAATAGATTGGCTTTGAGCAAGGGCACTCCTCCCCTTCCCCACAAATGCTGGCAATCTATGTACACAGCAGCTCCTGAAATTAACACTTAGATGAAATTAAACTGACAACCAAGGCGGCAACCTTGGGAAATACTTAGCTTACTTCATGTGGTTCCTGGATAGTTTGATTCCGATCTTGTCTGTTTTTTGATGTCTCAGGAATAACTTTTACTTATTTGTATATTTAAAACTGTTATGTAAGAAGATAATCAGGCCGAAGATAATAATAAAGAAGGGGAGGGGGAAATTACAAGGAGATAAAGAGAAAAATTTTTAAGGAAGTAAAAAAAGCTAAGCAGAAACTACAAGGCTTTTTTTTTTTCCTAAAAGATGCTCTAAGGTGTGAAGTTCCCATACAGTTTTGTGAACAAAAACATCATCTAATTTTGTCACCCTTGAGACAATTTGTCTGATTGCATTACTACACATTTGTGCAACACCAGTGAAAAGTTAGCTGCAGCAGGGTAGCTAATTCAGTTCTCAGCAGAGCAAAGGACAGGAGGATTTTAGGCAATTCAGCTGCAAAACATCACCTGCTGAAGACTTACAGACTGCAAGGTGGCAAAATGACACTTGCTATTGCTATTGCTTGCTACCAGCCTTGGAGCAAGCCCCGGCTTCAACGGAAGGAAGCTGCTGCTACTGCAAGTGTGCTGGCTCCTGTCCTTCTCATGGAATATTTTGTGCAAGATCTACAGCTGCTGTCTCACATACCTGGGATAAAAACCTTGACAGTCCCAAAAATACAAACCCCAGCATTTGCATTGCTGCTCCCAGGGAGGATCCTAAGGTGCCAGGGCGAGCAGGGGCTGCCCAGGGGATGCTGCCTCTGGCAGGTCCTCCCTTCTCAGGGGCAGACCCTCATCCTCAAAGGATTTGCCGTGACCTGAGGCCATCTGCAGCCAGGGCCTGGTTGTGGTCCCAGCTCCTTTCCACCACCCAACCACTTCTAAGGGAGCAGAAGGGATGTTGTAGCATACTGCCTTTAAACAATTTTGGCAATGAGAAAGCTTTTTCATAAGCCCTTGCTCTGCCAGTCAAGGCCCCCACACAATCCAGCTCTAAGGGCTATTTTTCTTCATCTTATCCCCAAAACCGCGTAACAGTGTGTGGGTGGAAGGGGAGGGCGATGTTCAGTGTCCTGGCTGCTTGCAGTGATATACATCAGGCCTGTCCTTGGTCTGCCAAATTTAAGACAGAACAGGGCTGGAAGGTGGCACATGCACCGCAGCCTAGCAGCTGAACAAACTTCACAGCCGTAAATTATGAAAGCACACAAAGAGAAAGGTCAGGAGGAAGTGCTTCCTCATCATGGCCAAGTGACAGATTCTCACTCCCAGTGCGAGCGCTGCCCATATGAGCTGCACTGGCCAGGCACTTAAAGAAAAGCAGCTGGGGAGAGAGAGAGGATGTGGTTACTGCTTGGGGGACTCAGAATTCAAACAAGGACTTTTTATCTTTTTTTCCCCCCCCCCTTTTTTTTTTTAATGTTTCCTTCAAAGCCTTTTCCAGACCATAAAATCTGTCCTCGAAGTGGGTCCTGTGCGCTGCCATCTCTTCTGGCAGGAACTGCTACCTCTTAAACTTACCATTTCATCTGCAGTTTTTCTCCCAGCTGATGCTTTTTTCCCCCCCCTGTATTTGCCACATACCCTGTTTGGGTTTTTATTATCACAGCACCTGGAGCAGAGGTTTTCAGGGCCTTATCATGCTCTCCCCCTTACCTTCTCTGGAGTGGTTACAAATAGCTTGAAATCTGCACGCTGAGAGAAAATGCTCCTTTTCACCATCTTTCCTCTTCCTCTGCTCAAGGGTAAGTGCAGTAGTCCTTAGAGCACTATTCTCCGTCCCCGTGTTTAGGAGGACACCAGTAAGACAAAAACTCAGCCTCGTGGATTCCCTGCCCTCTGCATGGAGCACCCCAACACTGTGACACCAGTCTGCACGTCGTGATGCTTAAAACAGAGGGAAAGGCACCGTGACTTTGAATGGCCTCCTCCAGAAGTGCTCCTCCAGGGGTGCCAGACTGCACCACAGCCAAAACAAGGAGCACCGATGTCCCTTCGTGAGCTGGTCCCTCAAGGGTAGTACGGAGGTAGCATGAAGGGAATTTCCTTGAACAACCTGCTGCGCTGTGGAGAGAAAAAAAGAGAGATGGGAAAATATTACCAAGAAAAATGCCACAGGAGAATTCTGAAAAGTCATTAGTAGCTTATTACGGTTTCATCCAAAAAGCTTTTAGCGAGCCATGAATAAATACCCTCTGGAATAGCAGTCTAATGTATTTATCATATTTTTCAAAAGCCTTCAAACAATTTTACTTAGAATGCAGCTGTCAACAAACAAATGAAATCATGTTTGTTTTAAGAAAAAAAAACAAGAACAAAAAACCATATTTCTCCAGTTACTTGTAACACGACACCCTCAGTGAGCTTTCTGCTTGCGTCTGTCCTTGACCATACTACTTCAATGGCCGGTGAAGGTGTATGGTACAGTATCTGGATTCCCAGAATGGACGGACAGGTTAACTCTCTATCTGCACTAGATGACCTCAAAAGCTCAATGCTATAAAGACTAAACAGTATGTGGGTACACCCTGAGTCAGTGCTTGGATGGTGTGTTTGTCAGTGCTTCAGCAGCATATATGCTAACGATGAAGTGATGCCCACATTAGAAAGGCCACTGCTCGATAGGGGACACTCAGGTCTATGAAAATGAAGCAAGGGGAAAAAAAAAACCAAACCACTGTCACCCGCAGTCCTTATACCAGTGAAAGCTGCAAGACAACCATTGAAGACCAAAGTTTGGTGTTGGGGCTGGCAATAACACACTGAAAGAAAAAAGTCTGTGAAAGAAAAAATTCTGTCTTTAAAAATTGTCTGGAAAGGAAAGGAAAGGAAAGGAAAGGAAAGGAAAGGAAAGGAAAGGAAAGGAAAGGAAAGGAAAGGAAAGGAAAGGAAAGGAAAGGAAAGGAAAGGAAAGGAAAGGAAAGGAAAGGAAAGGAAAGGAAAGGAAAGGAAAGGAAAGGAAAGGAAAGGAAAGGAAAGGAAAGGAAAGGAAAGGAAAGGAAAGGAAAGGAAAGGAAAGGAAAGGAAAGGAAAGGAAAGGAAAGGAAAGGAAAGGAAAGGAAAGGAAAGGAAAGGAAAGGAAAGGAAAGGAAAGGAAAGGAAAGGAAAGGAAAGGAAAGGAAAGGAAAGGAAAGGAAAGGAAAGGAAAGGAAAGGAAAGGAAAGGAAAGGAAAGGAAAGGAAAGGAAAGGAAAGGAAAGGAAAGGAAAGGAAAGGAAAGGAAAGGAAAGGAAAGGAAAGGAAAGGAAAGGAAAGGAAAGGAAAGGAAAGGAAAGGAAAGGAAAGGAAAGGAAAGGAAAGGAAAGGAAAGGAAAGGAAAGGAAAGGAAAGGAAAGGAAAGGAAAGGAAAGGAAAGGAAAGGGAGACAGACAATAGGTTAGGTCCAATAAATTCTTTTATGAAAATTCAGACTGTAATAAACCAGTGAGTTGGAAGGTACCCTCTTTCAGTCCATATGGGAGAAGATCCACATTCCCTTCCTTCCTAAGAAGGAATCTGTTCACGGGCTATTGTTTCTAGCAGAGTTTATCTGTAATGTTCTCTAACTTGCAGGAGATTGAGTATTTCTATAGGCAGGAAAATTCAGATAACTGTGACAAAACAGAAAAAACAATCACCCACTGTGAAAAGTCTATTAGCATATTAAGTAAATTGTTCTAACTGGGTGTGTGTGTGTGTGTGTGTGTGTTAAATCAAGAACCGTTAAAACTTACTGATACTTTCCCCCATTTCTATGCACACTGAAACTCTATCACAAACAGAAGTAACCAATTAATTATGATGAAGTTGTTCTTCTATGAAGAATATATTCCTGGAACAAAGTATTACAGAAAAACAAGGTTTTGCACTTGTATTGAAGGTTACATGAGATACAAAATAATGATGTGTTAAATATACGTCTTCAATTACAGTAAGATTTGCGTACTGGGGAACAAACAGCTGACAACTGCGAGAGCTTTGCAACTCAAACTATTACTTGTGTTTACAAACTTTTAAAAAGTAAATTCAACTCAGGATATTTTTTTTCCTGTCCTTTATATACACAGCTATGATACTGCCAAAAGCAATTTCACTCAAATAGCTCAACCTCCAAAAAGTTAGACTGGCACAAACACGCATCTCACAGAAAACTCCTTCATTTTTTGCAGGTATTTTGTTTGTTTGTTTTGGGTAGGAAGTGAGAAGGCTGTTTATTTTTCAGGTTGTAGTGGAATACCCAAAGCAGTCTTCTGCTTCTTTTTTCATAGCCTCTCAAACAAAATGCAAATATTGTAAACTATGGAGCCCTGGGAGCGGCGGTAAGGGAACCATTCAAGGTCAGGTTGGACGGGGCTCTGAGCAACCTGCTCTAGTTGAAGATGTC